TGTGTGCCTTGGGTTAGACTCAACAAGCGTCTTTTAGAGCATCAATATCAATTCCAACATGTCGGCCCCTGCCATCACAATTTTTAAGGCTAAAGTCACCTGAACGAAATTTTTTGAACCATCGTTGACACTTACGAATGTTCAAAATATTTCCATAAACTTTTTTGATATTCTTTGTGGTTACAGATGCGTTGTTTCCCTTCTTGTATTCAAACAGCATTACATACCGAATGTGTCTCGTCGTGTGCCATCACTGTAAGGGATTAGAGTATACTCAACTTTACACATTATATAGGTTACACTAACGTGACGTTTAGGGGGTTCGTTTAACTATTATACCTGATGTACGTTTTTGGGGGATGGTTAATGAAAGTGTTCCAAAACGCGACATTAATTTATTGACGACCAATATAATAAACTCCCATTGTTAACATCAGTTACTACATCCACTTAGTAATGTCACTTCTGAAAATACTTACAGGGTTACCCCGAGTTTCCTGATGTTTTTAGTAATTTGAAATAACAAACTGAATCAAAATCCATATAGTATAATATATGTTTCCAGAATAGAACCGTTTGTTACATTTAGTTCAACAGTTGGTTGTGTTATCATTTACAGAAGTCTAACAAAACAAGAAACGACGATAACTTTACTCTGAACTTCTGCTTTATACTTTCTCCTAAAAAATGTCAAAGTTTGGAGAAAATTAACTTTGTATGCTACCCTTCAAGTTAGATTACAAATATCAAACCTTCATATTTTATATCTGAACTGCATCTAATACACAGCATGGAACAGTGATTACTTCTTTGTTTGACAGGAATTATTGAGTCAGTCTATTTTACTCATCACTAATCTCGTGTTTTAGATAGTCGCGTTCATTTCCGTTGTCTTCTTCACTAACGTCGTGTTTGTGTCATTTTAGATAGTTGCGTTTATTTCCGCTGTCTTCTTAACTAACGTCGTGTTTGTGTCGTTTTAGATAGTCGCGTTCATTTCCGTTGTCTTCTTCACTAACGTCGTGTTTGTGTCATTTTAGATAGTCGCGTTTATTTCCGCTGTCTTCTTAACTAATGTCGTGTGTGTGTCGTTTTAGATAGTCGCGTTCATTTCCGCTGTCTTCTTAACTAACGTCGTGTTTGTGTCGTTTCAGATAATCGCGTTCATTTTCGTTGTCTTCCTCACTAACGTCGTTTTTGTGTCATTTTAGATAGTCGCGTTTATTTCCGCTGTCTTCTTAACTAACGTCGTGTTTGTGTCGTTTTAGATAGTCGCGTTCATTTTCGTTGTCTTCCTCACTAACGTCGTGTTTGTCGTTTTAGATAATCGTGTTCGTCTCCGTTCTCTGTATTAATCTAATATCATATTTGTATGATTTTAGATTTTTGCTGTGGTGTCCGTTCTCTTCATCATTTTAGCTACCATTGTGCAAATAGTAAACACCATCCCCAATGTGCAGACGAAAACAACCGATGGACATTTGGAAGAAAACTTTTATTTAGTGGTGGTGGAAGAAGTCTGCATTGCTTGGTTCACCCTCGAATATCTTCTCAGATTTACATCATCACCACGTAAGTGGCTGTTCTTTAAGAGTCCGCTGAATATTATCGATTTGATGGCTATTTTGCCGTACTATGTTTCCTTGATTCTTATTGGATTAGACAATGACGCGGCCCAGTTTGAAGACGTTCGACGAATTGTTCAAGTTTTTCGCTTGATGAGGATCCTCAGAGTTCTTAAACTGGCTCGTCACTCTACGGGGTTACAAAGTTTTGGGTACACAATGCAGCACAGTTATAAAGAACTGGGGCTGTTGGTTTTGTTCATTGCCATTGCCGTTATACTCTTCTCCAGCCTTGTGTATTACGCAGAGAAGGAAGACCCTACAACAAAGTTCACTAGTATCCCCATGACATTTTGGTGGGCGTGTATCACTATGACAACTGTCGGCTATGGGGACATGTATCCCATCACTCCACTTGGCAAACTGTTGGGTAGTATTTGTTGTATCTGTGGTGTATTGGTTATTGGACTGCCTGTTCCCATAATTGTAAACAACTTTGCTGATTTCTATACAAATCAAGTCCGACGCCAGAAAGTTCTTGAAAGAAAGAAGTCTATTAAAGATGCCAAGGATGCCGGTAAACTTCCCCCTCTACTTCCTTTACAAGATGATGATCGGAAAATTTCCTCGGGAGGCATTTAATTAGTCAGGTACGCTACATTAAAGTACTTGTATTTGAAATTGCTTGGGGAGTGTCTAGATGGAATAGTGTTTATATTGAAATATTGAAGCATTAATACGACCATTTAAATTTTACACTGTTTATCAAAAAAAAGCAAAATATTGGTATGAAATCCAACTAAATATTTAAGGCAACTACGGCAATTTTAACAGTAAAAAAAGAAAGAAAAACAAGATATATCTATAGATATCCACAAGTTTCTTCTTGCTTTATATAAACCAAAGTGGTATGTGTATTTTTCATAGTGTCTCCATCTATCGGATAAATAAAGCCCTAACTATTCAGCTCTGGAGCTGTCTGTGATAAGTCAGTGGAACAACTATGTTCATGTAGAGCTTGGTAACTCGAAAATAAAAGATCCTTAAATAACAAGTTTTAGATTTTATGTTCTAATATACTTGTATTATATAAACCTACTTAAAATAACTTATAATTAACAAAAGCGATTTTTTGCTACACCTGTCTATTATAAAGTCGTTTAATTCGCAATAGCGGTTTTTCTGCTGTGTGTGTGTGTGTTAAATTCTAAACATATAAAAACCTTTGCTTAATAGGAGTTTTTATGTTGTATGTGTATGCTTGTTGAATTCTAAACATCAAACAACCTTGAACAAGTTTTTTTGTTGTTGTTATTCTGGTTTTGCTTTACTCTAAAAAATAAAATAACTTTTAATTAACATGAGTTGTTTTTCTGGCATACGCGAGGTTTCGTTTCACTGCTTTTAAGAAGTAATTAACAAAATTTGTTGTTGTTTTTTTATTTGTTCGTAGTGTCAGAATACTTAAATCATGTTATCATTATTCTTTAACTTAAAGTACAATCTGGAACTTGAAAATAAAACGTTAATTTCAAGGTGTTTAATCTTATAATTGCTTTAATAAAAATTAGATGTCCAAAACTAAAAAGTCTCAAGCATCTTTTCTCGCAAATCTGGTGTCAGATCTGTTAACAATTGTAAATCCCCCTTGACTTTACCAGATTAGTAATAAGAAACCTAAAGCTCTGAAAATAACTATTAATCCCTCCACCCCCTTATGTATCTAGGCTGGTAATAAGAAGCCTAACTTTAATTGTAGCTAGTTAAGTTACTGAAAAACTCCTAAACAATTATTGTATTAGTCAATCATTCCAATAAAAACATGGTTCACATGGATATGCATTTAAATCTAAAGTGAACAGCATTCTGTACATCTCTGTAGAATCAAACTTGATCTTTAATACAAAGGTTAAATATATTACCACATCATTAAAGTCAATGATGCCAAGTCCAGTCATGCTCTCTCTGATGGACATGTATCTTGACTACAGCCCTAATGCAGCATAGTTTCCACTGCAAAAATGCTTTGTTATAGGCACACCCCTCTTCCCTGTTGTTTTCCATAATCTATCGAACAAGTTTCCCAGCATCAATTTCAACAGTTTGATAGCACAGGAATCCATAGGTGCTACATCC